CAAGCTGCTGCCCTGCCTGCACTCCTTCTGCCGCCGCTGCCTGCCCGAGCCCGAGCGCCAGCTCACCGTGCCCGTGCCCGGCGGGGCCAACGGCGACGTGCAGCAAGGTGAGCACCGGGGGGGCTTTCCCCGCGGGGAGCGCCCCGCCGGCAGCGGGTTGTCCCGGGAAGGAGCGCGGGGTTTTCCCGGTCCCCGCGCGGGCAGGTCCGGCCGCGGCCGCAGGAGCTGCCGGTGCCCCGGTGCTGCTCGGGGGGTGTTCCGTGTTTGCGAGCGGCCGCTGGAAGTTGGGAGGTTGTTGGGATCCAGAGTGTGAATCGCGTTCCGCGGGTTTTCAACACACGTGGAAGGAATGGAGCTGTTGGACAGGGCCCAGAGGAGGAACCAGGATGATCAGAGGGATGGAGCAGCTCTGCTGTGAGGAAGGGCTGGAGGATTGGGGTTGTTCAGCCTGGAGGAGAGGAGGCTCCGGGGACACGTTATTGCAGCCCTGTAGTACCTAAAGGGGTGCTGTGTAAGACTGCTGTAACGAGTACTATAGGAAAGATGGGGACAGACTTCTTATCAGGGACTGTTGTGACAGGACAGGGGGTAGTGGTTTTAAACTGAAGGAGGATCGGTTTAGATTAGATTTAAGGAAGAAGTTTTTTACAACGAGGGTGTTAAAGCACTGGTACAGGTTGCCCAGAGGGGTGGTGGATGCCTCTATCCTGGAATCATTCAGGGTCAGGCTGGACCAGGCTCTGAGCAACCTGTTGAAGATCCCTGCTCGTTCCAGGGGGATCGGACTGGATGAGCTTTAAAGGCTCCTTGCAACCCAAACTGTTCTGTTTTGGCTCTCAGGGAGGGACTGGGCAGCCTCAGTTCTACAGCACTGGGGTAAAACATATCTAATTAAGTGCAAACTACCTGCCTAGGTGGGAATTGTGTGTCCACTGCACCTGCTTTACTGTGACTGAGATAAAACCTTGCAGTGCTGCTTGTCACTCGAGTTGCTCTGCATGTGCCCAACTTGTGCCAGGAAAGAAGAGTACCCTGCTCCTTCCAGGTGTTCCTATCAAAACCATGGCTTGAGTTTTATTATTTTTTTAATATATTATACATTCAGGGATGGAATTGAAAAGCTTCTGGAGCTGTAGATGGGGTGACTCACGTGCTGTGGTGTACAGACCAATTTAGGGCCTTGGTAAGTGGTTTTACAGGTCTTAATTGGACCCTGTGGTCAGAGAGACCTTGTTTGGTGACATCTTTGGACTCAGGTGTATCCTGTGTTGCACAGTGAAGGAATTAAAACCTGGCTTGGTAGTGATTTGTTCATCCAGACTGTTCAGAAGTTCATCTAGGAAGTGCTCTTAGAAAATTCATTAGTTTTAAAAAGATGCTGTATTAAATGTAGTTTGTAAATACACTCTCTAGAGTACTGAGATGGTCTTGTGATCCATCTTTTTAAGTTCCAAATTTTGCATTATATCATAGAATCACAGAGTGGTTTGGGTTGGAAAGGACCTTAAAGATCATTTTGTCCCACCCCCTGCCATGGGCAGGGACACCTTCCACTAGCCCAGGTGGTTCCAAGCCTCGTCCAACCTGGCCTTGGACACTTCCAGGGATGGGGCAGCCACAGCTTCTCTGGGCAACCTGTGCCAGGGCATCACCATCCTCACAGGGAAGTGATATGCCAGTGGAAGACACAGAACTTGGGAAGCTGGGTCTATTTTATTAGCAGTTACAGGATTATCCAGGTCCCACTGTAGGACACAGGTGTGGGAACAACACGAGGCACAGCTCCTGCACTATGTATAGACTGGAATATCACTTCTTGTAGTACATTTTTAGGAGTGCTTGTTGGTGTGCTTTGGTGTAGGAAGAGTTCATGTTTGGGTTGCTGCAGCAAAAAGTTTTAGATCATGTGATTAAGATGTGGGCTCTGGAGCATCTCTGTTGTGAGGAGAGACTGCAGGAGCTGGGCCTGGTTAGTCTGGAGGAGACTGAGAGGGGATCTCATTAATGCACAGAATTATCTCCAAGGGTGTCAGAGGATGGTGCCAGACTCTTTTCAGTGACAAGACAAGGAGCAATGGCCATAAACTAAAACACAAGTTCCACCTCAAAATGAGGAAGAACTTCTTTCCATGGAGGTGGCAGAGCACTGGAGCAGCTGCCCAGGGAGTTGTGGACCCTCCCTCTCTGGAGACATTCCAAACCAACCCGGACAAGTTCCTGTGTCACCTGCTCCAGGTGACCTGGCCTTGGCAGGGGATGGGCTGGGTGTTCTCCAGAGGTCCTTTCCAACCCCAGCTGTTCTGGGATTCTGTGTAGGGTCTGGGAGAGGGTCGTGGTAAGGACGTGTGTGATCCATCTGCAGTGGTACCTGAGCCTGCCTGAACACAGGACTTGGCCAGCAGGGCAGGAAAGAACCAGCCATGGACCAGCAGACACAGTTTTGTGGACAGTTCTCTCTGCACCTTGTGAGTGGAGTCAGTGTGGCACATGGGGCAGTTACCAGTAAATCAGATAGAAAATGGACATTCTCAGCCTACAGAGAAGTACCACAGTGCCTAGTCATGCAGGTTCCTTCCCTGTTCTGGTGGTCACCAAGTGTTACTTCCACTTCTGCTGCTTCCCTGGTCTCCCTCACCACGAGCAGGTGCTTTTCTTGGAGGAAGAGTTAATGAGAAGTGGTACCTGTAGCTATACCTGAAGCAAGTTACACTTAACTGCTGCAAGTTGGTTCATATCTGTTGCACTGGTGAAAGAATTGGTTTTGCTCTTGTTTGCATATTTGTTGGGGAAAAAAATAGAAGTTTCCTGGTTTATGTATTTTCGACATATATATTCTTTTATGCTGTTTGTTCAGCATAAAAAGTAGCATCTCATATTCAGTTTAATGTCTTAATTGGTCATTGGAATGTGAATTTTATTTGGTGGATAGATGATTTCTTAATGCCTGGTGTTTCACCTGTCCAACTGGACTCTTACTTTCAGACTGAATAGGTTATGAGGAAAAATGCCTTCTTGTATTTGTATCCCAGTATTCTGAAAAATGCTTATTTCTAAGTTAAGAGTTACAGATACTGTAAAACAACTTTTCCTGCACCCACTGCTGCTCCTGCTCCTGGAAGATACGTTGTTTTGTGGTTTCACTGCCTGGCTGAGATATTTACAATCTCTCTTAAGAAGATTATCTCAGTACAGAGAATGTGTGGCTCTCCCAGCTCCTTGGGAATGTCACAGTTTTCATTGGGCTGAAAAGCTAAACAGGAGTTGCAAGATGCTTTCAGAGAGCCAAGGGGAAACATCCACAGTTGGTTGTGTGTGGAAACTGAGGAACAACGTGTTTACTGCTGAGTGCTGTGATGTGTAGTACCATAAATTAGTTGGATATGCTGAATTCAACTCTTAAATTCAGTGTTTGTGTATTTAGAAATGTGTATTAATCACATCTTAAGTTATGCAGTAACTGTTTTTAATTTACTGTGAAAGGGGGACATAAATGGTCTGATGTGTATGAGCATGTGCCATTCAGTTTGGTGGTAGTTACTGTATTTTCAGTCTAGAAGAATAATGAAAATTCCTGCATCAAGCAGACTTTTTAAGCTGGGTAAATGCAGTATCTTAATTCCAGTGGATGTGAGTACTTATCACTTAAAAGAACTGGTGGAAAGCAATCTGGGCTTCGCCGTTGCCTCGGACGTGAAGCAAAAACCTTTAATTGAAAAGTTGCAAAAGGCAAGTTGCTTTAATTGAAAACTGCTAAAGACAAGTTGCAAAAAGACAAGTTGTTTAATTAAAAAGAGTGGGTTTAATTTAAAAACTGTTACGTGGTAAGGGCTTCAGCTCACCTCGCCCTCCCAAGTCAGGTCTAGCAGGTGAATTTTGTTGGATGCAAACAGAGCAGCCCTGAGCCCACTGTGGATGTAATTAAACCACTGTTCAAGTGCCCAGTACGGTGCAGTGGGAGATCAGAGCACGAGAGATCACGAGGGCAGAGCAGAGAAGAAGATGGATGGGGATGAGAGATCCAGGAACCTGAGAGGATACCAGGGATGGAAGACAGAAGGATCTGTCTCCAGGGTTGGAGCCCACCACCAAGGACAGACCCTACAAGCCATGGTGGTGGGAACCCCTTTTCTGTGCTTCTAGCAATTTCTCTTGGCTTTTCCTACTTTTCTGTTTCTCTTCTTTCCCTCCTCTCTTTTTGTTTTAGAAAATAAACTTGAATTATTGTTTTGGAATCCAACATCTGGCTTTGTTTGTGCCAGGAATTTTCAAACTTAACTCCTCTCTGCGTTTTTGGACCGAGGCAAACTTCACCTCTCTGCACCAAGTGGGTTGGAACAATCACTTGAACTCTCTTGAATCTTTAGTTTTCTCCTCTGTTAATAAGTGAGGGTCGTGAAGATATGCTGGAGCCCAGCACAAGTCCTGAAAAATGGTCAGTTCGTATTCTGGGCTTCCTAAAAATCTAATTGTGAAAATAAGATTCTGGGCTTCCTAAAAATCTTATTGTGAAACTTAAATTTCAGTCTAAATTAATAGTGTATTTTGAGATATTTCTGTCTGAGAACATTTAGGCATGTTTTATTTTTGTAAGAATTAATATCTGTGATTGCTATAAATCGTGTTTTCTTATTAAATGTAATGTGTTGTACAGTTGTGATTTAAGCAAGGATTGTTCAAAAAAAAGTGCTGAGTTAGAAGTGGACCTTGAAAGCAGTTAATTTTTTTTTAGTGTATTTTTGTTCTGACGGGTTTCAATCTGATTGTGTCACTGCCTTGACCTGTGAGGGGTTATTTCAAGGTCTAATCACTGAATTAGAGCAGGGGTTTGATGTATGGCTGTGCAGAAACTGCTGGACCCTTGCAGTGCTGAGAGAAGTAAATATTATGCACATGGAGTAACTATTATTGGTGTTCTCACCCAATAAATGAGACCTGGCAGAGAATCATTCCTGAGAGGGCTGATAATGTGCCAAGTTTGAACTTCAGACGGAAACTGGAGTTATTAAATTGCAAGAGTGTTTGCAAATATTTCCTGAACTGGGGAGTTTTATCATCGTTGTAACAATGTAAACATCTGACAGGACTGTAATTATCTCATATTCACATG